TAACCATTACACCATGGGACCATTTCTTCACATACTTTCCAGGAAATTTCACGTCAATTTAAGAAAAATGCCAGTTTAAGATTAAAATTAAAAAGAAAAAGGTCCCACCGAGATTTGAACTCGGATCGCTGGATTCAAAGTCTAAAGTGCTAACAATTACACCATGGGACCATTTCTTCACATACTTTCCAGGAAATTTCACGTCGATTTAAGAAAAATGCCAGTTTAAGATTAAAATTAAAAAGAAAAAGGTCCCACCGAGATTTGAACTCGGATCGCTGGATTCAAAGTCCAAAGTGCTAACCATCACACCATGGGACCATTTCTTGACATTCTTTCCAGGAAATTTCACGTTAATTTAAGAAAGCTCCCAGTTTAAGATTAAAATTGAAAAGAAAAAGCTCCCACCGAGATTTGAACTCGGATCGCTGGATCCATGGCACCAATTCACAAATTTAAAATTGGATTTCATAGCAAATATTTCTGTCGCAGCACTCAAACTGGCCGATGAATGATATTTCTTGTACTGTTACCGTACATTTTCACAGTCAAGTGAGAGTATACTTACTTTTAGTGGTTCAGCAAAGCTGTGCAGAACAATCAAGACATATTTAGCAATGTTCACATTTTCCTCCAAAGCTATTGGCTGACATGACGCATGCGCCATTTTGGAATTGACCACGTGCGACAGCGATCCCTGTAAAATCCACGTCAGCAGTCTCATGTTGCTCACGCAATCTTGGAGTTCTTTAGGTCTGTAAATGATAATGAAAATAACAAAACAGTCATTGAGAAAATGTTAAAAATGATGAATGGGATTCGTGTAATGGGAAAACTTACAAATAACTGAAGTTCATTAAGAGCCAGTAACTTGCAAGGGTTAGGAATCTGGATTTTGAATCCAGCAATTCAAGCTCTAATTTTCCTGGGATATTGTTATTTTCAATTTTAATTTTTAAGCTTTCTTAAATTAACATGAAATTTCCTGCAATATATTTTAAGAAATGGTCCCATGGTGTAATGGTTAGCACTTTGGACTCTGAATCCAGCGATCCGAGTTCAAATCTCGGTGGGACCTTCTTATTTTCTTTTTCTAATCTTAAACTGAGAGCTTTTTTAAATTAACGTGAAATTTCCTGGAAATTTTTTCTCTTAAATTAAGGTGAACTTTCCTGGAACATACTTCAAGAAATGAATCCACCTATTTATTTTCAATTATAATCTTAAATTTAGGCGGCCAATTTTTAGTTTATAGAGAAAATTCTTTCACGATTTATTTTTTTAACTTAATCTTTTAATTTGAATTTTAAAGCAACTCAAGTTATTTTAAAAATTATAGCTCTCTTAATAAGAGTAAAGCTTGTTTTCTGTAAAAGTACTGTTCTTTGCTATTCAATGTTTAGCAACTATTTTACACTTAATATTTTTACAAATTATATCTATATTTCTCGTATCTTGACTTTGTTTTAAATTTTTTTGGTTCAGCTAATTATCAGTAATCGTCTTACTGTTCTTATTAGGGAATATAAATCTCAATAAGAAAGAAAATTCGGGAAGCATTTTGGTAGTAAAATGACGGTCTAATGAAAGCCGCCATATTGATTGAATTCAACACCAAATTGTTCAGATTTCTATGGTTTCTCTTCGTTCTTTTAGACAGATAGATAGGCACCTTTGTCAAAACTTAAATGAAAGGGGGTGGCTATATGCTTCTGATATCAAAAGGAGCCGTTATACACATATACGATATACAATAAATCAGAAACTAAATTGTTGTATAACAACATGGCGACGGCAGAGTGGTTTTTCTCTGTGAGAAAAAAGGAAAATCACCTATTTTCTGTAGTCAAAAATTGTGAAAAAATTTTACGAAATGAAACGTGTATAAGTCTGAAATTCTGAATTGCATTCCGTTTTGTGGAGAGCCATAAGTTAATCAGCGTAAACTGTTACATGTTCCCTCTTGAAAAAAAAGTTAAACAAACTAAATTGAAAAATAAGAATCCGATTTACAAAGTTGAAGAATTTAATTACAGTTCAAAGAAAATAATTTCTGCAAACTGTCCAACGCTAAAGTTTTGAAAAACAGAGTTTTCCTCGCCTCTGAAGTTGAACTTCACTTTTCCACAATCAACGGAGGAATGTCCCTCTTTGCCGTAAGCAGAAGGTGGCCCCTTGATGGTCGCTTCAATATTGTAGTCAACATCATTCTCAATACGGATAGCAGTGTCAAGTTTGACGTCGTAACCATGGTAATTGTCAGTGCCTTGAACTTCAGACATGTAGTAACCTTGTGCGATTTGCTTATTGTAAGGATCTGACCGAGGATAAACTTTTAGTTCCACTTTATATTGGCAGTTCTCGTAACCATAGAGACGAATACCGTGCAGTCTGATTGGCGTATTGACTGACATTATGAAACTCTCGGCTCGCTCCCCGGAGTAAAGGAACCAATGAGAAACGGTAGAATAACGAGAGCATCTTCGGAGAGGATTGTTTCTGGGTTTGGAAGAAAAGCGGTCAAGATTGCGCTTGACTGTGCCAAAATTTACCAGAATATCAATGACATCTTGTTGTGGGAGAAGTTTCGAGGGAACAACATGTTTTTTGAACTCTTCCTCAAGCATCAGTGGAAAGCGTATCTTTCTTATTAACCTGTCGTATAGATGAGCTACGTGAGGGGAGGTGCGGGGGACAAAAGATGGAAAAGCTTGGTTTTGATTTTGGTTATCATGAGTGACACGTTGAATGCGTGACATATTTTCATTTGGCGTGACACTTTGGAAGTGCGACACATTGTCGATAGAGCCAGATGCAAAATTACCACGATGGCCACTTCCTACAGATTCTTTTGTGTCCATCTTTTCAATAGTAGATGATTCAACTGCGCGTGACGAATGTAAAATAGCCGTCACGCAATCACACCGTTCTTGACATCTACAAGTGCACATTCCATTATAAACTCGCTTCACTGGAGTGCCTGAACTTTCCGTTACAGTATTTGAAGCATTAGGTAATTGTCTTCCTTTGCGTGATATTGGACGTGACATTGAAGGAATCTTATGATTGTGCAACAGCCATCGTTGCACAGCTTGAAATATTTCCACTTCACTGATACACAATGTATCTCTATCCAGAAGATTTTCCAGTAAATCTAAACTAACTTCCAAAAACGATCGGCTCTTCAAAACCACATTCGCATTCAAATCAATAACTTGAAAGCATTTCTCTAGAAGTTCTTTTTCGTCGAGTTTCATAGCGTACGGAATAACGTCAAGAACATGAGCAGGTGTAACGTTCTCTTTGATATACGACACACAAATCTTAGCCAATGAAGGCACAAGGTATTTCTTTGCCAAGTACAGCGCTTGAATTGCCGAAGGAAGAGAAAGCTCTACTGTATCGCAGTAAATATAGCGTAAAAACTCCAACAGTCCCTCAGAATCACAGTCGGGTAAAGCCACAGTATTTTCAACCACTGCTAAATTCCCGTAAAACATAGCGAAAAACACAGGACTACTAATTCCCAAGACGAATTTATGAGCAGGAATGAATACTCTCGAGTCAGTTTTCTGGCTGAAAACCACAAATTTCACGTCTGAAATCAAAGAATTATTAAACATAAAGGATGTTCGAGATACGACAGAGGTTTTCTTCAAGCGCCAATCCATATCTTGTCCCATTTCGCTTCGTAAAGTTCACCTAACGTCGGAGCCACCAAACTCAGGATTATTTTCGTACCTTGAAATTCAAAACAAACTCTTCCACCAGCAAAAGTAATACCAATGGAATTATCTTTTATTCATGAAATAAAAATAATATTTGAATTCCGAAAGAAAGACTTCCATGTGCTTTCGAAACCATTCTTTTTATACATTTCTTTACACTTCTTAATATCTAATTTCTGCTTTAAATCTTCAAACGTTGTGATTTATCTTTGTGATTAACTCAAAACTAATAAGTTAAGACTAGAGTTTTAGGGGGGAAAATAAGCTAAACTTTAGCCAATTTTCTATAAAATTGTGTTTTTTAAGAAATCTATTCAAAGAAAATTATTCGAGTCTTCGTAAGATTATTTTCTTTCCTATTTCAAATCTTCAATAATTGATTTTCCCACTTCTCCGGCCCCCTAGAATCGATTTTCAGACCTCAAAGATTCCATTGGTTGGACTAATTTCTAGGGTTTGCTTGTTATTATTTATCAATTAGGTTCCATACTGTTTGGTAGATAAAAATGCCGCTTCGGTCGTGATACAATCTGTACCAGAATTACCAGCATAAACATTAGAAATGATTTATATTTTGGTCAATAGTTTCCTATTTCGATATTTTAAATTACGTCAATGAAAAAAATAATTTTTAATTTCGTTGGAAAATGAAATACGAAAGAATAGTTCGAAACCATTTAATCCTTTACAGTTTGGGAGAATGCTAGAAACGTCAGACATGCGCATTAAGAAAGCGACCTCCGTTGTCCTTCTCTGGTTTTGCTCCCTTCACAAAACACTCAAAATTCGAATTCGATCTATAATTTTGCCGTGCCCTGACTTAGATCAGCCCAGAGGTTGTTTAACGGTTCAATAAAAATGAAGTTCAATTGATTTGGTCTAGTCAATTAAAATGTGTACTTGACCCGGACAGACAGACTTGCCCTTTGCCTAAAGGAGCGCAGGCTCTTAAGGTATACCGTACTTTCGAAGGATGTTATGTATTTCTGGTTAGAGCAGTTTTCGCCTGACTGTGAAAAGCTCAGTGCCGTAAGCGTGCCTTGCAGTGACCGTGATGTTTTCTAGAATTTTAATTGGCTGATTGTTTTCTCGTGCAATGTGATTGGCCTGAAAGTGCCGTGACATTGGCGTGACCCTGTCCACGCCATGTTTTCGGTATTTGATTGGATGGAGAGTAAATTCTCGCGCCATGGGATTGGTTTGGCGTTACCTTGCCATGTCACGAAGGCGTTCGTACCGCCAGCTTTTCACAGCCATAAGAAAACTGCTTTAAAGCTATCAAAAATTCACTCTACTGGACGAGAATAACTCCAAATTTACTCACCCTAACTGGATGGCGCTTGGAGGGTTTTTCAGCCAAGTTAGTGACTTGGTGTACAGTTTACTCGACTTGGGCTGCTTAGCAAGCTCCAGGGCGGCCAGTTGGGACATCCCTGCTTTGAGGTGAATAGGTACGGTGTCGAAGTTCAGGTTTGGTTCACTAAGGCGTTTGTTTTCCTGTATAAAAACGTAGTATAATTACAGGAGTGGGTTAAAATACTTTTTCTGAGGATCACTCTTTGATTTCTGTTCATCACGCTTTTAACGTTAGTAAATTTTCGAGAGGCTGAAGCCGAGATGCAAAACCCCGACGTCTGGAAGTAAATCGAAGAGATCGTAGAATCATGAAAACAGCTATCGCATTTAAAAAAGGAGTATAAATCATTAAAATGATTAACAAACAAATTATATTTACGTTGCTGGAACGCGAGGTAAAGTGCCAGTCGCGGATGAACTCGACGATTTCTATCAAGTAGCTTTGTATACAATCCATCGCACGTGTACGCGCCTGTGAGGGAGAAAAAATGCGGATAAATTACGAGAAATGAATAATTAAATAGGAAGGGAGGAATGAAGGATGGAATGGAGGGGAAAGAGGAATGGAATGGAAAAAATGAAAGAGGAGAGTGAGAGAGGAAAGGAGAGGGGAAGGGAGGAATGGAAAAAAGAAAGGGAGTGAGGGAGAAACGAAAGAATGAATGGAGAGAAGGAATACAACTCCCATTAACATTAATAATAATAATAATGATAATAGCAATAATAAATAATAATAATAATAATAATAATAAATAATAATAATAATAATAAACTCACCCCAAAGGGTAACGAGTACTCCACATTGTCCCTATCACCACCAAAGGTGATTCTACTACCAGCATCTATAGCCAAGACCTGGAAAAAAAACACGAGAATATATATTGATCTTAACCCAGATCCGTGTGCATCTTCATGATACAGAATAATAAGATTTTACCTGAAGTAAAGAATGCAGATTAGAGTCAGGCAGGTAGGATCTAAAGCGAACTGCTTGCATCATTTCTTGTACGACGATGCGAGTGAGGTACAGCTTGTCTCTTTCCTGGTGGAAAGGATATACAATATTAATATTCTTGAGGTGCACGGTGCGTCCAAGCCACCAGTTAGCATTCTCTTTTTAGATCATCCAAGATGGTGGCCGTTTCATTATTATTTATGTCTCAAAAGATTTTTGGTCACGTGGTCGTAATCTAAGAATAATATCCCTAACCTCTGTCATCATCACTACTATTATCATATTACAATCAGAAAATGGTCCCATGGTGTAATGGTTAGCACTTTGGACTTTGAATCCAGCGATCCGAGTTCAAATCTCGGTGGGACCTTTTTATTTTCAATTTTAATCTTAAACTGGGAGCTTTCTTAAATTAACTTGAAATTTCCTGGAAATTATGTCAAGAAATGGTCYCATGGTGTAATGGTTAGCATTTTGGACTCTGAATCCAGCGATCCGAGTTCAAATCTCGGTGGGACCTATTAATTTTCAATTTTAATCTTAAACTAGGAGCTTTCTTAAATTAACGTGAAATTTCCTGGAACATATTTCAAGAAATGGTCCCATGGTGTAATGGTTAGCACTTTGGACTTTGAATCCAGCGATCCGAGTTCAAATCTCGGTGGGACCTTTTTTTTCAATTTTAATCTTAAACTAGGAGCTTCCTTAAATCAGGGTGAAATTTCCTGGAATGTATTTCAAGAAATGGTCCCATGGTGTAATGGTTAGCACTTTGGACTTTACGTATATTTTCCTTTTTCTATTGTGATTATTGATACCTTAGGGAAAGTTTCGTTGCATTTTGAGCACAAATCAAGAAGATCTTGAAGTTGGAAAGAGGTTTTGTTGATACCGAATGTCAGCACTTGACCAAAAGGATGAAGCAGCACCTAGTGAGAACAAAAATAGAAAATAAAGCTCAAGAAAACATCCCTCGTGCTTTTCAAGATGATTCATATAAAAGTCCGTCTGGTATGAAAACTGTCTTTTTTTATTATTTCATTTTTATTAATAAATGAAAAATAACCAGGACCATACTTCCAGACATCGAGTGCTGAACCGTCGTATGGGCTTACGGCTACGCCGGAGATTTCGACCCCGACACCGCTATCCCGGGAGGATTTATAGACTGATCAGGAAGCTCAGCCGAAGCATAAGGGAGAGGTTAGTCGGCCCCTAGACCGTAGATGATTGACCCCTTGCTATTAACAGCAGACCTGATGTGTCTCATCTTTTGCTGACGACTTAACGCGCATGGCCAATCCTTTCCATGTGGGACGTACTTTCAAAAAATAACCTTAGAGTAAAAATCAATTTTGAAGTTTTATTTTTTCACTCTTTTAAGAAACATTGGTGTTTAATGACATTTGCTAAACGAATAAGAAAATAGAAAGAGGAAAAACTGGTTTAAACTGGTTTACTAAGATATCCAAATGCACGCATGCGCATAAGAATAAACACAATGCAAACCTAAAGTCTACTATTCAGATTTTCAGTTGATTCAATTTGAATTTCAAGGCTGTATATAAAAACGCTCCAGTGTATGTATCAAGTGATGTTAGAATACCTTGAAGGACGAGTTCGCAGCCGTTAGAATAGCGCTCATGATCCGGAACGCTGGAGTAATGTCACACTGAAATATAAGATGGAATAAGTAAGGATTTCTTTTTAAAATTATCCGTGTAAATTAACTTTTTCTGGGGGTCAATTGGGCTTTCCTTCCTCCGCAAAAATCCATTTCTAAATTCCAATTTGATCTTAGGAGATATTCTCAATAGAGTTGACCTTTAGCTTGAAGTCTTTAGTTTCCCGTTGCTCTAAGTACCTCGAGTGGAACGTAAAGATGATATAAATTTAAGTGCCTTACATTGTCAGGAAGAGCCGATGGAAGTTTTCTGAAGAAGTTCTCAAAGTGTGACAGCTGGCTAGACCAAGCGCTGGTTGTTTCTTTGGACGCGTGTCTGAAGTAAGTCGAAAGGTTAGTCAAGAGAAGCATTATCCGGTCACTTAGAGTCCTGAATCCAAGGATATCCTGGTGAGCAAACAAAAACACCAACCTTAAAATGATACTAGACTGAGAAAACTATTTATTCGAAACAAACTGGAATAAACTCGAAAAAGCAGCGGAAATAAAAAAGCGGAGAAGATTTCGCATGGTCGTGAAAAATGTGCGGTATGGATGTCCCGTGCATTCGTCCATTCTTCCTTCCTTCCATTCCTTTCTCATATTCTCTCCCTCCCTCCATGCACTCATACAGGAAAGAGGAGGCAAGACAAACACACACATGCATGACAATAGTTTACCTCGAGCAGATATGCAATAGGAGACATCTGATCGAATGCTGAGTAGTCGTTCAGTGCGTAGGCAATCGCTTTGAGTAGAATCTCGTCTAAATGAAAAAGAAAGATTTTGATTACACAGGAATCCCGCAATGAAAAAACTACGCAGAAAACCCGGTGCGAAAAGAACGTCGTGACCTGATGAGCGAGTCTTACCGTCGAAGACTGTTCGGAACAGTTCGGAAAAAATACCATTTGGAGCCAACTTGATGAGGACACATCTGAGAAACTGTTTGGCTACTTCCGTGCTGGATCCTGGTATGAGGACGTCACTAAGTGGAAAAGAGGATGGATTAGGGATAGATGAAACTTGATCAAAGGGTAGAAAATGCGATGAAAAACGCAAAACAAACCTTTTGTCTTCCCATGGGAACATTGGGTGGACGCATTTCCTGAAAACACATGTACACAAGACCATTAAGTAATCATCATTAGCATCATTATCAACATTGACATCTTTCTTATTCTCATCATGATTGTCATTGTTATCATCATCAGCAGCAAATCTGTAGTATCGTCTTCACCTCTATCATCATCATCATCATCACCGCCATCATCATCCTTATCATCATCATCACAGATCATATCATTATCGTCACAAACAAATAAACGTAATTGGTCCCATGGAGTAATAGTTAGCACTTTGGACTCTGAATCCAGCGATCCGAGTTCAAATCTCGGTGGGACCTTTTTCTTTTCCATTTTAATATTAAACTGGGAGCTTTCTTAAATTAACGTAAAATTTCCTGGAAATTATTTCCAGAAATGGTCCCATGGTGTAATGGTCAGCACTTTGGACTTTGAATCCAGCGATCCGAGTTCAAATCTCGGTGGGACCTTTTTCTTTTCAGTTTTAATCTTAAACTGGGTGCTTCCTTAAGTTAACGTGAAACTTCCTGGAMGATATTTCAAGAAATGGTCCCAYGGTTTAATGGTTAGCACTTTGGACTTTGAATCCAGCGATCCGAGTTCAAATCTCGGTGGGACCTTTTTCTTTTCAGTTTTAATCTTAAACTGGGAGCTT